GGCGGCAGAGCCAGCCCGGGTGTTTTCACAAGCTGCTGCTCACCGAAGTGGCAGCTACAACTGCCTTCGAACAACTCGGAGGCAATTGCTCCAGAATAAAACCTGATTTCTTCTTCGACGATTTTACCCGATGCTAGGCTGTAGTTGGCGTTGGCAAGGCGTGGAAGAGAGCTTATCTCGGGGCTGTGACTGGTGGCCCGAGGAGCCCCCAGAAACCTCAGCCTGGAGCCCTCTAGGCACCGCTGGGCGCTTTTTTACATATTTTTAAAAATCGGGGCGGGGGGGGGGGGGGGGGGGGGGAGGTTCTGAAGCAGCAACTCGCGGGTCTGTCCCGACAGCAGCGTGTCGGCTGTGCTGACCCAAGAGCCCTGGCAAAGGCTGGGGGGGGCTCCGAGCCCCGATCCGAAAGCCCCGGGGTGCGTTTTGCCGCCCGCCGCCCCCAGAGAAAGGGGGGGGGGGGACACGACACCTGCCCCCAGCACCGGCCGAGGGGTCTGCGGGCACCCCCCCCACACACACACACACTCCCCCTGTTTCCTGAGCACCTCAGGCAGGGTTAGCTGGGGTCTCAAGGTGTTGGTCGTCGTTGTGCCAAAGCAAAGGGTTGCGAGCCCCTGCAAAACAACACGCAAACGGAAACCTGCAAAGAGGAAAACGCTGTGATCAGGCAGCAAGAGCTTTCGGGCTTTGGGGGGGAGGGAGGGAGGGGGGAAATGGGGGGGGGCGGGAGGAGAGTTCAGATCAAATGGTACTTAAGGATAGCAGACAGTAGTAACTGCATATGATCAATAATCGTCCCGTGCGCATTCCTCTACTCATTTAACATCAGCTGGAGGGGTGCAAATGTTGCAACTGAGTACTCGACAAGGAAATCAGCTGAGCGTGTGTTTAACCTGTGGTTAATTATTAATATGAACAAATCTTCTCACTCAAATGTTTCATTTAATCACCTCATGTCGATTTGTTTAGGAAGCTACATGCTGAGCTTCCAAAACGATAATGTGGGTGCAGATTTATTCTAGGGAATTTGATACCATCCATATAATATCATTCGTGTGATGAATTATCATCTTTTCTCTTCTTGCTTCATTCTAGCCAGCTGAAGCAACGAACAATTTTTGGTATAAATATTTATGACAGTTTTTAAATGTTCAAAGGAAATTTGTCAGGGAGGTCCCTCAAAACACGGGGGGAAAAATCACATCTTGGTGAAGCTACGAGTCTTGGAAATACGAGCTCAAAAAAGAAAAGCAGCTCATATTTCGAATACTAACTTCAGAAGAAACTAACCGTGACTAGTATTTGTTCCTGCCACCGCTCCTGATCTCTTGCCATGTCCTCGGAGGGGACCTGCCACCCTTTGCAGTGGCACTACCACCTCCCTGCACTGTCCCTCGCTCATCCGACAGAGTCTGTGCTTCTGCAGCTGCCTCCTCCCTTCCTCCCTTCCTCCCTTCCTCCCTTCCTCCCTTCCTCCCTTCCTCCCTGCCTTCCTTCTCCTGCCTTCCTGCCTTCCCTCCTTCATTTTCCTTCCTTCCTTCCTTCCTTCCTTCCTTCCTTCCTTCCTTCCTTCCTTCCTTCCTTCCTTCCTTCCTTCCTTCCTTCCTTCCTTCCTTCCTTCCTTCCTTCCTTCCTTCCTTCCTTCCTTCCTTCCTTCCTTCCTTCCTTCCTTCCTTCCTTCCTTCCTTCATTTTCCTTCCTTCCTTCCTTCCTTCCTTCCTTCCTTCCTTCCTTCCTTCCTTCCTTCCTTCCTTCCTTCCTTCCTTCCTTCCTTCCTTCCTTCCTTCCTTCCTTCCTTCCTTCCTTCCTTCCTTCCTTCCTTCCTTCCTCCCTCCCTCCCTCCCTCCCTCCCTCCCTTCCTCCCTCCCTCCCTCCCTTCCTTTTTCTTCCTTGCTTCCTGCCTTCCCTCCTGCCTGCCTTCCAGCACTTCAGATTTGGAAGAGCAACGGCGAGTTGAGGAAATGAAGAGCCCTGGTTTTTCAGTATATACGGCAATCAGCCCCTTTCAATGAGCCATCATATTTGTCCTTAATTTCGACTTTCCCAAGCCCTGTTCTCATATTCTACTGTTTGAAATGTAGGAAGATTTAGCATAATTTGGAGGTCAGATTTCTAAATAAGCCTACTTTAAATAACAAGCCCACACGGGAGATTGTCAGTATATCTATTTTGTATACAGTTTACACACTGGCACCGCTTTTTAAAACCCTATATGTGGGTTAAAACTCAATTTTACAACCCCCATTTATATGAGATGTAGGTTTGACATCTGTTTGCCAGAGTGTTTTGCACTTAGCCTAACACCCACTATTAAATGACAAAATTGTGGCAGGCTGTCAAAGCCAGCTGACTGACAGCTGCTCTACTTTACAAAAAAGCCCCATTCAAATATTTGCAGGGTTTGAAGCTTTCTGTAACGCTGTCGCCATTCTCCCCGTTATTTAGCATGTAAAATACAAGTCAAAGTTTTAAAGCTGCTTTCCAAAATGTTGCCATTTTTCCATATAAAAAGAGCGAGCGGTGGTTGCTGGCGGGGATCCAGCGCCAAACGCATTGGATGGGTATTTCGCTGGGTCCCCGCGTTCCTCCTATCTGCAGAAACCCGATAAAACTGTCATTTAGCAGCGTTTCTTAATATTGCAGCTAATTAGAGCCGGCGTGTTATTGAAGTGAGAGCAAAAATCCACTTAAAAGAGAGGGGAGGGGAAAAAAAAAAAAAAAAAAAAAAAAGGGAGTGGAGGGGGGGGGGAGCTAAAATGTTTCCGCGCAGGCGGAGGAGCGCGGCCGGGCACGGCGCGCAGCGAGACCCCCCCGGGGAACCGGCCGGGCCCCGGGGAAGGGACACGGAGCGCACCCTTGCACCCCCGGTGCCGCACCCCTTCTGCCCCCACCTCCGGGGGGTGCCCCTGGGCGTTCGCCAGCCCCGGGCGAAGGACGGCGCTGCTGGGGGGCGAGCGCTGTGCCTTGGGCGGGGTGGCTCCTTCTTCCAGCCCCACTGGTGGGGATATAACATTTAATTCATGTCGTTAATACGCGCCCGCCCGTTCCCCTGCTCCCCCTCCAAACGCGAATACGAGTCCGTCAACGGCAACGGTGGTTTAAACTCAAAAGCCAACTGCTTTTTATTCCAACATCTCTAATGATTGTATGTGGCTGAGCAACGCAAAATAGCTGGCGAGGTAACCTCTGCATACTAAGAAGTCTTTGCAGCAATTGCTGGGGTTTATTTGAACCTCGGGTGCTTCCCGCAGCCTCTGCGAGACAAGCAGGGCTCTAGCTGTCAAGCGAATCGGAGGTTAATGTTTGGGGGGGGGGGGGGGGGGGGGGCAGGGGAAGTATTTCTTAATTTATTTTTTGAATGAGGACCAGATGCACACACCCCCCCACTCCCGTAAAAGAAGGCGGCACTCCGGCCGTGGGAAGGCGGCCGTCACCAGTGTCCGTCCCAAACGCTCTGGCCCCGGCACGGCTGGTCCCCACGACCAGCCGGCAGCAGCAAAACCATCCTCCTTGTGCCCCCCTCCCTCCCTCCCCGGCACACACCTCCCTCCCCCCGGCACCCACGGGCAGGCACCCACCCCTCGCACAGCCGGAGCGGAACAGAAAACGGGTTACTCTCAGCTTTACCTGGAAATCTTTAGCTGATTTGTGTCCATTTTAATAACCTCTATCGACTGTCTTTCCTACAGCGGTTGTCACGTTGATAGAAAGGGACTAGAAAAGAGTATCGGGGCGGGGGGGGGGGGGGGGGGGGGGGATGCTGTTGAGGATTGCAGGAGCAAAACTAAGGGCGCTGTCTAAGAAAGGAGAGATTATGGCAGTGAGCGGTACAGGGAGGAGAAGGTGCGGACCCTCCGCAGCGATCCCGGGTGGAGAAGGGGGCGGCTGCCAAAGCCCGGCTCCATCCCGGGGGGAAGCGAGGGGAGGCAGGGAGAGAGGGGCAGGGAGAGGAAGGGGGGGGGGGGGGGCGCTCGGAACCTCCCGGGGAAATCCAAGTTTATTGTCAACAAAGGAGGGTCTGGCCGGGCTCGGAGCCTCCGCCGTCCCGAGCTGGCGGGGAGCGGCGGGGTGGGGAGGGGGGGACGGGAGCGGGGGGACGGCGGGGGGGACCCCGCGGAGGTCACGGCGCCGCACAGGTACGGGGAGCAGCACCTGGGGGTGGCTCTTCCCTTCCCGGAGGCATCTCCCCCGGAGAGAGGGGCAGGGGCGAGCGGCCCAGCGGGGGCCCGGAGGGAGAAAGGCGAGGTTAGAGGAGAAAGTGCGTGTGAGAGAGGGAAAGGGGAAGAGAAAGAGGAGGAAGGCTCCGGGCTCCACCTCCCCGCTCGGCGCGGCGCTCCAGCTGCTCTCAAACCAACTGCTCAATTCTATTCACTGCCGCGACGGAACAAAAAAGTGGCTATTTATTAGAATACTTGTTTGGTATTGTTCGGTGCCACACAAAAGGCGTTTCATTATGTTGGGGTGGGGAGAAAAAGCCCCTCTTTCTTTTTTTTTTTTTTTTTTCCCTTTCCTTTTCTTTCTTTTTTTTTTTTTTTTTCCTTTTCTCTCCAGACCGAAACAATAACTTGAAATTGTCTTTAAAGTCTTTTCTATCAATAATAAATTTCATTTTCTTCTCTCTCGCCCGCTCTCCCTCTCTCCCCCTCTCCCTTGCGGGGTGTGCGTGTGCGTGTGTGTGTGTGTGTGTGTGTGTGTGTGAGGGAGAGAGAGAGCGAGCGAGCGAGAGAGCGCGGCTGGTGAGTGTGCGTGTCGCCGGGCACTCGTGGCTCGGGCACAGCCGCCTGGGAGCTGCGGCTGGGCGAGGGGCGAGGAGGAGGAGGAGGAGGAGGAGGAGGAGGAGAAGCCGCAGGCGGAAGGCTCGCCGGCCCCGCCGCACCCGTCCGGGTCGCGCTGCCCTGCGCCTGCCCGAGCACGGCCGGAGGAAGGTGTGAGCTAGGCTAGAGGAGAGGGAAAAAAAAAAAAAAAAAACAAAACAACAACAACAACAAAAAAAACAACAACAACAACAACCAAACCAACAACAAACAAACAATCCAAAAGCAAACAAAATAATAATAATTAATAATCATAATAATAAGGCTGCCCCTTGAGCTGATATGTTGGGAGGAGGCTGGAGCTGGAAGAGCAACTGTAAGTGTGCCTCTATAACTTTTGAGGGGGTCTTCACCCTGTCTTGGGAAGGGAGGAGGGGAAGCCGGCGAGGGGAGGGCTTCCGAGTTACTTTTGCTGCAAGGAGGGAAGAGCCGTTTGCAATCACTGGGTTATCGGCTGTGACACGGATTGGGGGGGGGGGGGGGGGGGTGGTGGAAGAAGAGAGGGAGAGAGGGGGGGTGACAGTGTTTTGGGCTGTCCCCCTCCGCCTTCCCGGGGCAGACGCCTCAGTGGGTTTTGAGGCGGGGGAGGGAAGCGGCGGCCGGGGCCGGGGGCTGCGGGCGGGCCGGGGCGGGGAGGGCGCCGGGGGCGGCGGGGGCCCGGCGCTGCCTTCCGAGCGCCGCGGTCGCCCCGCTTACACGTTCCAAAATTAACATGTCGGTGCGCGGGTGCCATTTAGTGAAAGGTGTCTCGGGCAAAGAATCAATTTCGCCGTGACTGACCGACGGGCTTGGCTGTATTAATACTGCCAAAAAAAAAAAAAAAAAAAAAAAAAAAAAAAGGGGAAATCAATAGGCATAGCAGCCTTCAGCTATTACAACTAATGCCTGCTTAATCTCTGCCCCTCGGAGCGAGCATTCACATGGGCTCTTAGCATTGTTAATGCGGCCGAGCGGAGCCCGGCTCCATCTTCCCAGGGAGCGAGGGATCCCCGGATCCCGTCCCCTGTGAAGGTGACAGCTTGCCGGGACCTTCCGACGGGGAGGCTGTGCCCAGCCTCTCCAAGCGGAGTCCCGGCGAAAAGAAACTCCCGGGGATTAGGGCTACCCGGGGCGGTCCGACCCGGGGGTCTTACCCTCCCTCCCCAGCTCCAAGGTGGTTGTACAGCTTCCCCCTTTCGCCATAAAGTATCGGGATGTTTAAAAAGTGGAATGGATTTTTTCCTCTCTTATTTGCCGGTGGTGTTTGAGGTCGATCAACAGGCAATGGAGCAAGGCTGTGCATCTATCGATCAGGGAGGGGACGGGTTTTGGCTGAATCTCTTTTCAGAAACAGGTGTTTAAACATGATAGCGGCTCCAGTCAATTAACCCATTAAAAACCCGTTTTATCGCATTGATTCCCGCAGGCTGCCATAAAGGGTTGTGGTTTGAAAGCCTCTTTGTTAAGGGGGGGGTGGGCGTATATGGGTGGATGGATGGATGGATGGATGGGGGGGGGGGGGGGGAAAGGATGCAAATTGTCCCCAAATGTACAGTATCGAGCAGTCAGAAAGATGCCAAACTACCGGGGATAACGTTCGTCCTTCCCACCAAGCCAGGCTGCCCCGGCACCTCAGCGCGCCCCGGCTCCGCGGAGGGAGCCGAGGGGCGGCCGCCCGCCCCACTCCCCCCCCACCCCGTGCCCGCCGTGGGCCGCCCGGCTGCGCAGCCCCGCTCGCAACAGTTGACACAACCCCCTCGGGAAAGGGGGCTCCCGTGGCGGGGGCAGGGAGACACCCCACCCCTACCCCCCCCACCCCCGGGGAGGAGGGGTCGGGCCGGGGGCGGGGGCTGCAGCCCTGAACAGGCTGCGGGGCGGGGGGGGGGGCTGGGGGTGCAACTGAACGGTAGCCCTAGAAAGTTGCAAGCGCTGTTTGAACAGGCTGCCCACCCTTCCACCCCCCAACACCCCCCACCCCAGCACCTTTTTCAGGTTTGGCAGTGAGAGCGCTAGAAAAGATGGATTTGCTACAGGCGTCAGTAGCTGGGCTGTTATCCCGCCCTACGGTGACTTCCAGGGAATCCGTGTAAGGAGAAGGTGAAGTCTCAGTCAGGGGTCTGGTGAAAAACAGATCTGTGAAAATCGTCCCTCTTCCAAAAGGCACATAAGCGCTGGGTCCCGGCTCCGGCCAAGCAACCGGGATCTCCGGTCGCTGGGAAGGAAACTTTTTTTTTTTTTTTTTTTTTTTTCTTCTCTCCTCACTTCCCGGGGGTTGGTTATCCGCCTTCCCATGGCCAGAGTGCTGCACTGGATGGAGCAAGAGGATCATGTATTTCCTCTGGTACCTTTAATTTCCAGACTAGCGGTCTGAGATTGTTTAGATGTTTCTAGTTTTCCCCTTGTTTGCTGTTTTCTGAAGTAAGCATTGGATGCGACTGAAAAGGTTTGAAATCGTGTCAAAGTGATGTTTTAATCTCATTGAAAAGTGTATTAAAGGAGAAGATGTAATTTGTGTGGGATGTTTCGATGAAAGGAGAGATTGGAGTGGATGATACTTTCGCTCTCCTGTGAACCTCATGTCATGTTTATATTGAAGCTTGTGTAGCTAATCTAATTTGCAATAACAGGATGGCCTGCAAGAAAGAAGCTTCTATATGATTTAATTTCTTTCTTTCTTCGTTTATTTTTTACACAAATTCATTCTGACTTGCCCTGAATGATGCCTCGGCAATTTGGGGATAATTGGCGGGGATGCAAACCAGAAATGTTTCCTTTATGCTGTCCTAAACCTCACTTCTCCAAGCGATGCGCCGCAGACACAAACAGCCAGGTTGCCCTGCTGTAAATGGGATGCCGCACTTTGGCTTACGAAGCTTTTTTTTTTTTTTTTTTTTTTTTTTTTTTTTCCCCGTGACTGACATTTCAACAGCGCAATTTTAAAGATTAACTTCGTAATAACTCCTCTGTCAGTATCAGTCCAAAGAGCTCCGCGTCCCCGCAGCTCTTCATTTTCCTTTAAAAGTTTACCGTTACAAAATTATACTTTCAAAATATTCTCCTTATGGTAGAAAGTAAATTGCTGGGAGATATTTTTTTGTCTACAGGGGCTCTCGGTTAACACATCTTGTAAAAAGTAAGAAGTCTGGCCATCCCTTTAGATGGAAAACCCGAACCCTAAAAAATAAGAGAGTTCAAATCCTCATCTCCCGCGAGATGTTTTGCCTTAGCACATATTCACGGCATGTGCCTTAATAATAATTTTAAAAATATATATATAAAAAATCTGAACAGACTTGAAAATTACAACTTTTGTGTAATGTAAAAAGGTGTATTCAGCCTGTTAATTACAGGGGATTGTGTCATTGGAATGTTATCAATGACCCGTTTAATTTTACTGTAATTACTGACAAAATAAGACAAGGATAGAGCACAATACAGGATATTCCTCTTTCGGAACAACATTGCGCTGGAAGTCGTGCTAATACGTAACATAAACAAACATTTTAGAAAATGCTCCTGGCTGGCGAAACTTCGTTAAGACCCGATTCTGCTTTCTCTACCCACTGGTAACTCCCACCGGGCTAAGGATCGGGCCCGTTTCAAGGCGAGGGGGCACCCAGCGCATCTTGCGAGGGGGAGGAGGGAGGGAGGAAGGAAATCTCTTCTTAGGCGGGGGCTGCCCGTCCCGCCGTCCCACCGAGGTGTCCCCCGCCGTTTGTCCCGCAGTGCCGGCCCCGGGAGCCGTGCTGGCGGGGTGACACCCCCCCCCCCCCCCCGGGCACAGCCGGCCCCCCCACCGCCAACCGGGCCCCGATGTCGCCTTGGGGCGGCCGGCGGCTGCCGCGGGGATCAAACGGGCGGGAGATCGATGCTGCTTCTTTTGGGCGCAACGAAAACATAAAGCTCATTTTCAAAGCCGGTAAAAACTCGAAAGGAAGAAGCGAAAACAAAAAGGCTGGGATATTGAAACTCTTCGGAAAGGGGCGATTTAGCGATACTGGGGAGCCGGGGGGGGGGGGGGGGGCGATGCAGAATTCCTTTAGAAAAATGGCTCCGGCCGTCCTTTTCTCTGACACAATAAATAAATAAATGGAAATACCTACGGGGAGCAGCCGGACGCTTTGATTTTGCCCAGAGCAGGCTGGCCCTGAGCGCAGCCCTGTGCTCCCCGTCGCGCCCCCTCCCCAGCGCCCGCTCCCCGAGTGGGGCCGGCTCTCGGGCGCGGGGGGCACCTGCCTGTCCTCACTAAAACTTCAGAAACCTCCCGGCCCCGTCCCGTCCCCTCCCTCGGTGTTCCCCCGCCGTGCCCCCCCGCCGTTTTCCCGGGGGGCACCCCCTCAGGACAGAGTCTCAGCGTCGGTAACCAGGGCTGCCCCTTTCCCCGCGTGTTCCCAGCGCGGCGGTGGGCGACCCGTCGGTTGAGGGCGGGGTGGGGGGGGGGACGACAGGAGGTAAGAAATACAGGGATAACGGCCTGGGAGCCGAGCTGCCCCCCCCGCCCCTCTCCGAGCCGCCCCGGGGAGCCGCAGCGAGGTCCCGCAGAGGGGCCGCTGCTCGGGTCGCGCTATGTCGCGACAGCCCCGGGCTGGCCGGGAGCGGGGCGCGGCGGGGCGGCGGCAGGACAGCCCTTACCCTCCTCACGCTTCCCGTTGGTTGGCACGGCTCTCCCGGGCGAAGGAGGGGGAGACATTTCTCGTCAGGGGATTTTAGCCCTTTCCTCCCCACCACCCCCCTTTCCTTTTTCCCCCCTTCCCTTTCATTCATAAACCTGGTGGCTATAGACGCAGCTTGAATATTGACGTCTCTTCCCCCAACCGCTCCTCCGTTAACCCAATTACAGAATTCATCAAGAACTGTGTTGAATTATCTCTTTCCATACAGTATCAGCATTAGCCTAATTAAAAGCTATAATGTCTGATATAATGATTAAATCGTTAGCTCTGCTGTAGGGAAGCAATATTTTGTTTTCCCTTCAATTAGAAGCTGATTGAGGTTTTCAGAGCAGGTCAGCTGTGAAATTTGAATTATATGTGTGAGTACCGTTCACAGGGTGAGCCCCTACTCGAAAGCTCCAGAGATTCTCCAAACGCTTTTACCCAGCAAGCTGGGAAAAGACAACAAAACGCACAGAGAAGCCTGTAGCTGATTTGGGACTGGGGCTGTAGGTTCCCCCGGAACAGTTGTTAGTGCTGGAAAAGAAAGCGGGACTTTATTCAGGCGCCTTTTTTCCCTCCAGCCCATCCCCGCCTGGGCAACTGTCCGTGTTCAAAACCGTCAGCCCCGAGTCGCCAAGTCACGGAGGCAGGAAGGGGCTTCCCCCGCCCCCCGTCCCTTGCCTGCCTTCCTTGCTCCTTCCCGGTTCCTCGCCTTGGCCCGGGCCCCGACGGAGCGGTTCGCGTTTCGCGCTGGCCCGGCGGGTTTTGCAGCAAAGGGCCAGAGGAGATCCAAGCGATTCCCCCCCCCTCCCACCCCTACGCACACACACCCACACACACACCCCGCGTGTCCCACGGGGCTGGCGAGGGATCAGCCATCATCTTCCCCCCCCCAGCACCGCCCCCCTCCCACGGGCATCTCGCCGCGGGGAAGCCTGGAGCTCGCCGGCCCCGGCCCGTGGCGAGGGAGTCACGGCGGCAGCCAGCAGACGGCGATCGCCGCCCGCTCCGGGGCTCCCGCCTCGGCCCCGCCGCCCCTCCGCCCCCTCCTCGGCCCCGGGGGGGGGGGGGGGGGCGCAGTGCCGGCGACCCCCGCCCCGAGGGGGCGGCCCTCCCGCCGCAGCCGGTACCGGGGGGAGGCGCCACCCGCCGAGGCGCGTCCCGCGGCGTGGCGTGGACGCGGACTCGAGGCGGGGGGAGAGGTGGCCCCGGGGGGAGGCACTCGTCGCTCCAGCCGGCCTGCGAGCGGGCCACGCCGGCTCCTGGCCCCTACGGGGGCCCGTGGGGGAGGGGGGCGGCCAGGGCCGCTGCCGCACCTTTAGCCCTCCCCGGCCCCGCTCCCAGCTCAGGATCTCCCCCCCCCCCCCGCCTCCCCTTTGGCTTCCCTGCAGCGTTCACCCACGCATACACCCCTTCCCCCCACCCACCCCCGCCGGGTCCCCCCTCATCCCCACTACCACCCGACTCCTGGCTGTTTGCAGCTCCATTTTGCTCCGGGGGGAAGTCCAAGGGCCTCTTATCTCTGGGTGCAGCCTCCCCCCCTGCACCACCACTCTCTCCCCCCTCCCCCCCCCCCCGCAGACCACTCCTGTCTTGTCGCCTCTGTCAACCAACACTCGCAAAACTGCTTTTGACCTCGTCCGGGTCCCGCGAGTCGGGGTCTGCACCACCCTCACCACGGAAGAAATGTCCCTGTTTGGCTCCCGAGCTGCTGGTTTTTAACCCCCACCCGCACCCCCTTTCCTTTCCCTCTCCCGTCGATGCCCTCTGGCCGCCGGGGCGCGGGGTGCACCTGGGGCAGAAGCAAGGGGCCTCACGCCGACAGCATTTTCTCACCCCCCCCACCACCCCCCCCCACCGGTCCCCGTTCGCATTTACCCACGCTAAAGGACCGTGATCACGGCAGTTTGACTGCTTTTAGGAGAGGGAGGGGACGCTCGGTGTTTATTTGCCGGCGGGGGGGCGGGGGGGAGAAGAGGGGGAACCCCCCACGGAGAAAAAGCCCCGGAGGGGGGCAGCTCCCGTGGGGGTGCGAGCGAAGGGCTGCCCCCGCAGCGGCACAGGGTCAGCCTCGGCCGCGGTTTCCCTGAGGGGGCCGGGGGGGGGGGGGTGGGGAAGCAGAGGTGTAGTCCCCATTCACAGGGATGAGAGTGTGCTCCCACGGGGTCCACCGGCTGGCAGGTAAAGGTTGTCCCACACCGATTTGTCCCATCTATTTGTCAGGAGGCCTTCAGGTACCTTTATATCAAATTTCAGGGAGAAATACCGCTAGGGCTTTGGGTGGATAATGTGCAAACCATGTCATTTCTCTCACGGTTTTTACTCCTAGTATCTTCGTTTGGCCATCCAAGTGGAAATTCGCCTTTCTGCAATAACCTTCTCTCCCCTTCCCCGCCTCTCCTACCCCAACCAATTGTATTTTTAATACATCATTTAGCAATCACGGCGGCCTCACTTGCTTTGCCCCTGCAGATGTGGCAACCCATCAGCTCGGGAAAATACCAGCAGGAGCAGTGCGGGCGCAATCCCGCACCACCTCCCCTCCCCTCTTTGCACCCTTAGGGCTGACTGGAAGGGAACAGAGCCCCCCCGCTCCCCCCCAAAGCATCCCCCACCCGAGCAAACAGCAACACCCTGGCAGAGCCTAAAGGGCCCAGAAGCAGGCCAAGCCCTCAGCCAGCAGAAACGGAGAGGTGCTTTTCTCTCCTCAGCAACGCCAGGTTATTGTGATGAGATCACTATTTCATGACGAGTTGTTGGAAATGGGGGGGGGGGGGGGTGTTGGAAAAAAAAAGTCTAATCTTAGCCCCGTGCTTAAGGCTGGTGCTCTGTGCATGGTGTGCGCTCCTCCTGCAGAAAACTTCTGGAGGTAATAGCAGTGGTTGGGGGAGCTGCGGCGTGATTCCAGCCTTGGATGGCCACTAGCGTCAGGGAAATGAACGCTCCCAGACGGAGAAAAGAGCTGGGGTGCCCCGTGTCCCCTTCCCCCCCTGCCGAAAGGCGCCGGGGGTGGCGGTTTGTGCGTGGGCATTTGTGCGAGGGAGCAGCCAGCATTCCGGTGGCTGCAGGTGAAGGTTGTGGCGCGGGTGTCGGTGTGGATCGGTTCCTCCCCCTCTATAAAATAACGATGATCAGGCTCACAGGACAGCCAAAAGATAGCCTTTTAATATTTTCAGGTTAAAAAAAAAAAAAAAAAAGCCGTATGCCCGTACTTTTTACACCTATAACATGTTTCCGTGTACCTTCGTTAGGCTGAGATGCTTTTAACTCCCCCGGGGACTAAGTGCGTAACGACCGCGTCCAACCCCCGCCTTGCGCCCGGGTTTAGGCCTGGGAGCAGTTTTAACGCTGGGGAGAGCCGTCTGCGCCCCCCCCCCCCCCCCCCAGCCCCCCATCCCGCCTCCCGAAAGCTCCAGAACGGGCGCAGTCCTGGGGAAGAGCCGTATTCCGGTACCGCTCGCACCGCTGCGGCACCGACGGGGCGGGGGGTGCCTGCCGGGCTCGGGGGGCGCCTCAGCCTCCCCAAATACCGCCCCGCCGCCGTCGAAGCGCCGGCCGCTCCCGGGGCAGCCCTGCCTGCAGTGGGGCTGGGGGGGGGGGGGGGGAACACACCGACCCCCCTTTCCCACCTTCCTGGGGGCGCGCCGTGACCCCAACCTCCTGTGTGTGTGTGTGTGTGTGTGCGTGTGTGTGTGTGCGTGTGCGCGCGTGTGTGTGCGTCTTCCCCCCCCCCCCCCCCTTCAGCCTCCACCGGGCGCGGCGCGCCCCGCCGGACGTCACAGCTCAGCGCGCGCCATGCAAATCGCCGCCCGCCGGCGCGCCCCCATTGGCCGCCGCCAGGCGATTTAAGGCGGGCTCCGCGCGCCCTGTATGGCTGCAGCGCCGCTCGCCCGCGCGCCCGCCGGCTCCTCCTCTCCCGCCCCGGCCCGGCCCGGCCCGCCCGGGCCGCGGGAGGGAGACCACCGCCAGCAAATTACCGTGCCCCGGCTCCGCTTGTTTTGGTTGGGTTCTTCCCCCCCCACCCCCCTCCCTCCCTCCCTCCCTCTCCCCCCCCCGATCCTCCTCCCGCTTTTTTTCCTTTTTTTTTTTTTTTTTTTAATTAACGTTTAAATACTTTTTTTTTTTTTTTTTTTTTTTTTTCTTGTTGCCTCCTTTTTGCGTGGCGGTGGGTTCTCCTCTCTCTTCTGCTCCGTTCACCTGCGATCAGCGGATGCAAGTCACACACGCTCCCTCCCTCCCTCCCTCTCTCCCTCCCTCTCTCTCTCCAAGTTAGCAAAGAACAAAAAAAAAAAAAAAAAAAAAAAAAAAAATAGCTCCGTTAAGGATAAGAGCGGGAGCGGAGGGGTGTGCGCGCGTGTGCCGGGGAGCGCCGGGAGCGGAGGACACCGCCGACGGCTCCGCACACTCCTCCCTCCGCGCCAAGTGAAGCAGCAAGTTTGCCGTGCACCTGTTTGAGCAGCTCGAATCCCCGCCGCCGCCGAGCCCCGAAAGTGATTTGCAAAAAAAAAAAGGGAGAAAGTTTTTCGCCGGCGGGGTCGCCGATCGCTCTCCTCACGGTTTTCTTCTCCTCCTCCTCCTCTTTTTTTTTTTTTTTTTTTTTTTTTTTTTCGTGGTGGTTTGGTTTTTGTTTTTTTGTTTTTCTTTTTTGTTTTTTTTGTTTTTTTTTTTCTCCCCCCTCGCACGGCGGTCGCTACCGAGGTACTAACGGGTTTTGCCTCGCTCGCTCCCCGTCCTCCCGGGCTCCTCTATGTTTGATTCTTTTTTCACGCCTGGCGCCGGTGGAAAATAAAAAAGCTACTTGAATGTACAGCATGATGATGGAGACGGACTTGCACTCCCCCGGCGGAGCCCAGGCCCCCACGAACCTCTCGGGGCAGACCGGAGCGGGAGGCGGCGGCGGCGGCGGCGGCGGCGGCGGCGGCGGCGGGGGGAACAAAGCGAACCAGGACCGGGTCAAGAGACCCATGAACGCCTTCATGGTGTGGTCGCGGGGCCAGCGGCGGAAGATGGCCCAGGAGAACCCCAAAATGCACAACTCGGAGATCAGCAAGCGCCTGGGGGCCGAGTGGAAAGTCATGTCAGAGGCCGAGAAGAGACCGTTCATCGACGAGGCGAAGCGGCTGCGGGCGCTGCACATGAAGGAGCACCCGGATTATAAATACCGGCCCCGGCGGAAGACCAAGACCCTGCTCAAGAAGGACAAGTACTCGCTGGCCGGGGGGCTGCTGAGCGCCGGCTCGGCCGGGGGGGGCCCGGCCGGCGTCGGCGTGGGGATGGGCGTCGGTGTGAGCCCCGGCGGCGTCGGGCAGCGGCTGGAGAGCCCCGGCGGCACGGCCAGCGGCGGCTACGCGCACATGAACGGCTGGGCCAACGGCGCCTACCCGGGCTCGGTGGCGGCGGCGGCGGCGGCGGCGGCGATGATGCAGGAGGCGCAGCTCGCCTACAGCCAGCACCCGGGCAGCGGGGGGCACCCGCACCACCCGCACCCCCACCACCCGCACCACCCGCACAACCCGCAGCCCATGCACCGCTACGACATGGGCGCCCTGCAGTACAGCCCCATCTCCAACTCGCAGGGCTACATGAGCGCCTCGCCCTCGGGCTACGGCGCCCTGCCCTACGGCTCCCAGCCCCACCAGAACTCGGCGGCGGCGGCGGCGGCGGCGGCGGCGGCGGCGGCCGCCTCCTCGGGGGCGCTGGGCGCCCTGGGCTCGCTGGTGAAGTCGGAGCCCAGCGTGAGCCCGCCCGTCACCTCGCACTCGCGGGCCCCGTGCCCCGGGGACCTGCGGGAGATGATCAGCATGTACTTACCGGCGGGGGAAGGCGGGGATCCGGCGGCCGCCGCCGCCCAGAGCCGGCTCCACTCCCTGCCCCAGCACTACCAGAGCGCCAGCACGGGGGTCAACGGCACCGTCCCCTTGACGCATATCTGAGCCCCCGCCGGCAGCGCCGCCGGGAGCGGCGGCGGCGGGCGCGACCGCGGCCACCGGCCCCGGCCCCGGCTCGGCCACCGGCCCCGGCTCGGCCAACGTCCCCGGTCACGGCTCGGCCACCGGCCCCGGCTCGGCCACCGGCCCCGGCCCCGGCTCGGCCACCGGCCCCGGCTCGGCCACCGGCCCCGGCCCCGGCTCGGCCACCGGCCCCGGTCACGGTTCGGCCACCGGCACCGGCTACGGCCCCGCCGCTGCCACCGCACGCTCAGCCCCCGGCCGCCCGCCGCGCCCCGGCCCCGCGTCGCTCCTGCCCCGCTCCCGGGAACCCCCCAACCCCCTTCTTATTTTTGCCTCTTGCTCCCCTTCCCTCCCGCCCTCCCCCGCCTCTCTCCCCCCCCCCCCTTTTTTTTTTTTTCTTTTTTCTTTCTTCCTTCCTTTTTGTACAGAAATGTTTTGATGTTCTTGTAATAATAATAATAAATAATAATAATAATAACGAGAGAGAAAAAAAGGTAACGGTTGCTTTACTTACCTTTTTTTTTTTTTTTTTTTTAGAAGGACTAGTTTATGAAACTAGTTTTAGACTGAACTTTTGTGTTTTATCGAGACTTTTTGTACAGTATTTATCATTCACCCAAGAGACATAGAGCGTTTATTTGCAAAAGAGAGAGAGAGAGAGAGAGAGAGAGAGAGAGAGAGAGAAAGCAAAAAAAAAAAAAAAAAGAAAAAAAAAAAAACTGACGGCGAAAAGACAAAAAATATCAATAATAACCACACAAAGTTGTAGGCGATGCCAACTTTTATACCGCGCGGAACCGCTACGATTTCAGTCACGGATCGCTTCTTTCGAAGTCTTTTTATTGCCTAATTAACTCGAAGTTGATGGGGAAACAGTTCTCATTTATTACTCATGTACTAAGGCAAATCCAAAACAACACTTAAAAGTTTTTTGTAGATGTTTTCGCGCTTTGTTTTTTTCTTTTGTTTTGTTTGTTTTTCTTTTTGTTGTTATTTGATTATTTATAAAACTTTTTTTTTTTTTTGACACTGTAATGTTTTGTTGTTTTTTGTTTTGGTTTGGTTTGTTTTTTTTCCCTGGGTTTTGTAAAACTTTATTGTATCCGGCTATTTTTTGTTTGTTTGTTTGTTTTCTCTTTGATTTTGTTTTCTTTTTGTATCATTTCTTGTAAATGCATTGTGAAATAATTTTTATTTAGGAGTTACGAGGGAATTCAGATTGTGTATATAGTTTACTAAAAAGCCTTTCTGCTAAACAGGAATCCTAAGGACGCGTTCGATTTTGAGTTAAATAAATTTCAAAGCGGAAAAAGTCAACTGTTTTTTTTTTTAAAAAAAAAAAAACAAAAAACAAAAACAAAAAACAAAACAAAACGGAGAACGTAGTAATGTTGACCATGGTATGCCTGGAAATACAGCAGGTAAACCTAGGCGGTGGGGAGGAAGTTTTAAAGCGGAGCGGCAAAGAGAACGAAGCGCAATCCCGCGGTACGTGTCGATGTCTCCTACTCGGTATCAGTCAGGAGGGGGGAAGGTAGATCGCTTTTAATTCTCGTTCCGTCTTGCGAGGGAAGGCGACTCGCTGCCCGGCTCTTCCCGGCCGCCAACGCTCCTTGGGCGGATTTGAGGGCCGGGCTGGCGGGCCGGGACCCTGCCCGGGGCCGCAGCTTCCCCCCTGCCTCCCTTTTTGCCCCCCGCTTGGCCGGGAGTCCCCGCCGGCCCGGGGGGGGGGGGGCACCGACCTCGCCGGGGGACGGACAGACGGACGGACGCGGAGGCACCTGCGAGCGCGCCACTTCCCCTCTAATTAACGCCCTGAAAAGCGAAAACGCTTCGGTTGGAGCGTCCCGAAAAAAAAAAACAAAACAAAACAAAACAAAACAAAACGACCTCTAAACCCCAAGCCCGAAAAGCAGCCCCGTCCCTGCCGGGCATCCCGGGGGGCGAGTGGGGAGCGGCGGGGTCCCACGCTCCCACCCCGCGCCAACTCGGGCGGCCAGTTTCAGCCACCGGTGCGGAAGCTCTGCGGCAAAACGACGCGTGTCTGTTCGTTGCAGAATGTTGTTCAATGCTTTGAAATTTAATTTGAGTTTGTTTTTTTTTTTTTTTCGCCCCCCCTTAGCTGGGGATCGGTACCTTTCGGTATGCTGGAATTAAAAGTTTGCTGTAAACTTCGTCTGATAGTAATAACAGCATTGAGCGTTGTATTTAAATATCCTACTGTGACAAATATATATTTTTTTCAATTAGTCAGAACTGCTTAAACAAAAGGAAAAAAAATACTTTTAACTTTCAGGGCAGTGTTGTCGGTCGCAGCAGGCTGTAGGGCTTTTAAAACCATCTTTTAGCGCTGGCGAATGAGTGCTTCTTCCCTCCGCGAGTGAAGTGTTAGCTGGATAATGAGGAGCGGTTTCGGTCCGTGTTAGAGATTGCACTTTACCTATAATGCTGACATGTCAATTGACATATATAACTCTTCGGAGTAATTTTGGTAATTTTGTTTAAATCACTCATTCGTTAAAGAGAACGCAAAATTTTCATGGAAGCTGTCTATCGATTTCAAACCAAAATTTTCTTTCCCCCTTCTCTTTCTTTTTTTTTTTTTTTTTTTTTTTTAAAAAAAAAAAATCCAAAACCAAAACAACTATTTGAGCCTTTACTAAAGCGAGGTGTGTGCGGGTTCAGACAGTCGGCAGCCCAGTTTTGGAAATGCTCAGCGTACAAACGGCGCACACAGAAAGCAGGAGCCTGTGAGAAACCTTCTGTGGCTTGGGTTACCTCCAGCCAAGCACGGTCCTGTATGTAATTTAATATATTAATAGGCGTACCTTTAAATATGCAGAATAAGCTGAGTACCTGTTGAACTGTTTCTTGAAACGCGTTATCCATCATGCGGATACGTACTCACACATATCTATACACACTATAGACAGCATCATGACCGAAGAGAAGCGTGTGTGTCTGTGTGTGTGTACGTGTGCACATGCAGGCGCATATACATCTGATGCAACCTTGTTACGTGCCTTTTCTTTAAGGGTCATAGCTATTGAAAATCACATTTACTGACAATGCGGAAGAGAAAAATCCCGGCGAGACGATCCGGTAGCGCTGAACGCGACTGATGGAACAAGCGGGTTGGGGCGGGCAAGGGAGAAAAGCAAATAAACATCTGTACGCGTCCAAACAACAGAAATACTAGGGGAAGTGCTTAAAAGAGAAATATTACGGCTCTCTAAATGAGTTCCTTTTAACGAGTCTTCCCTCCTCCCCCCACAATTTAGCGGCTCGATGGCGTTATGCCTAGAATAATAGGAATACCTGCACTTTCAACACAAGGGGATTAAACAGACCCAATCTCGGCTATATTCAAATAAGCTTCGAATATTCTCAGCCCGCCTTTCAAAGAAATACAGTCCCCTCTGCGAATGGCCACCCTGCCCCCCCCCTCAAAAAAAACCAAAACAAACAAAAAAAAAAACCAACCCCCCAAGCACCGTAAGGGTAGAATTTTTTGCTGTTCGTGGTTTACTGGTTTGGATGTTTAGTTTAATTTGAGTTAAACTTCACGTTTGGGTATACAAACAAAGTTAAAACAACTTCGCTACGGAGGCAAGATGGGCTTAGGTACAGTAAAATAATTCGGTCTTCGGGCTTTTTACTTTGCGGGTTATATATAAGAGAGTAATTGAATATGCAAAACTAAGAATAGGTTTAAGCGATTTATGATTTAAGTACATTATATCTAAAATTGTATGAAATGTTCCTCCTATAACATGATTGACAGAGCTATTAAAATCACCTATGTGGAAGAATTAAATAATAAAAAAAAAAAAGTCATATCTTTTTCAGTAAAAGGAAGGAAAATCCAGTGAGTGAGGAGAAGGGGAGCGGGGCGGAGGTGCCCTCTCTACAGAATTAGGCTGCGTGTAGCTTGGGGAGGTTGGGGTCAGGGTGTGCCCCCCCCCTTCCCGGTCACCGCTCTGCCGGCGGGTCCCTCTGTCCCGGGCGGGGGGCGGCAGCGGAGGGGACAGGAGGACAGGAGTCACAGTGCGATAACAGGTTCGATCCGCTCCAAACTTCGAGCCGAAACGCAAACTGGGCCTAAACTCCCAGCTCTTTTCCCAACGATTCTCCTTTTTTTTTTTTTTTTTTTTTCCCCTTTTTTTTTTTTTTTTTTTTTTTCCCCTCCTTCCCCACCTCCCTCCTTTTGCCGTGCGTGGCTCGCTGAGCTCGTAGGAGTGGCGCTGGGCCCTGGGGAAAAGCCTTTTCCTCCAGCTCCACTCCTCCGCGCCTTCAACCGGAGTCACACCGCAGCAAGTCGGGGGGGGGGGGGGTGGGGGGGGGGGTGGGGAGCACCGATGGGACCCCTCCGGGCCTCTGGGAGCAACGGAGCCGGGGGAGGGGGGGAAGCACATGAAATTGTCCATGAAGATAAAAAGTGGAACGGCTCTAGAAATCTGCGCAGGAGGCCGTGAGGTCGCAGCCCCAATGCGCTCGGGGGTTGGGGGGGCCACAGCGGGGCAAGAAGCCCCCCGAGATGCCCCGTGGCGGGGCTGGAGGGGGGGTGGGGAGGATCCTCCCTCCCAGCTGCGCCACATGCAGGCAGCAGCAGGCCGGAGGCACCTGAACGCCTGACGCGGTTACAGCACTTTATTATCATGCGTAAACTGCGACGGAAGGGGGGGGGGGGGGGAAAAAATCTATTAAAAAAAAAAAAAAAATCCCACGCACAACACCACCCCCCACAGCCGAAACCCAAAGCAAACAGCTAATCTAAGCGTTGCTGTAAGAGTAAAACGCAGCTAAAACACGCGAGCTGGCAGCTGCCCGTGGGTTTGACGCGTTAGCCGGAGGGGACCGACCCTCTCCCGCTCCCCGCGCTGCCCCCGCCTTTCCCGGGGACTCCTTGACACCCTCCCCGGGCCCTTTTCTGCCCGCTCCCCCCGGCTGGCACTGGGTTTCCCCTTCCCGCCTTCTCTCAGCAACACGCGGGGGAGCGCCGGGAAGGGGTAGCCCCGTGGGGGCGGGCAGCGTCCGAGTGTT